GATTTTGACAAGAAAGAAAAAGACAGCAAGTGCCATAGCGATAGGGAAAGCGATCCTTATCCGTCACAGAGTTCCAGCCCTCTGATAATTTTCTTCCGTCATCTGGGGTGCCTCAACATAATGCAAATCTCCAAGGTACCTCAGATTAGATGCGTCATCAAGTAACCCATTATCAGGCAACCTAAAGTCTGTTTTTTTTTAAAGATAATTCCCCAAGTCAAAAATTTAGTAACTATGTTGGCAACACAAGCCTTTTCTACATAAAAAATTTGAAAACATTGACAATTTTACATTGTATTGCCAACATAATGTCATTTTGACTTTTATCTTTAAAAAAAAAACAGATTTTATTAACTTTAGTAATCTTGGGTCTAGAATATATACAGTCGTGAGCATGAAAAGTGGGACACCGGACTGACAGGTCTAGTCCTTTTTCACTATTTTGGGTAAATCAGTCTTTTCTCTACAATGGATTTTTTTGTCAAATATGACAATCTCTGTCATTGCCATAGGTATAGCTGATGAGCTCGTTTTACAATAGGAAAAAACGGGTGTCCCACTTTTTATGCTCACGACTGTACATGTCAAACTTTTGATCAGTTTTTGAAGTGAAACTTCTTAGGCGGCGGTCTGATATTTAGAGGAGAATATGGAGAGTGATTTGAAAGACGAAAGACGCATCATGTAACGTCACGTTTTGGCAAATTTCGCTACAGGAGAGATGAGAGAGAAGGAAGCTATAACGTAGAGAGACGGAGAAAGACATCAACCAATGACGATGACAGCCGATGAACAATTCACACTAACGAAGGATTATAAGTAAAGAGGATTGCCTATTATTGTCAAGCGCCGATACCCTTGTAACGTCACTATAGATACGCGGGCTCTTTGTCTTTACCCCGACTCATAAGCTAAGTCTCAAAGCTGTATAGAGGGTATAGTTTTTGAAAAGTTTCACTTCTTAATACGTATACGATGCTACACATGATTTTTTGGAACTGAAACTTCTTATGCGGCGGTCTGATTTGGAGGAGAATGGAGAGTGATTTGAAAGAAGCGTTACGTGTAACCCTTGTGAGGTCTCTACAGATGCGCGTTTGTCTATTGTGTAGCCTTTCATCTTTATACCCCGACTCATATGCTAAGTCTAAAAGTTGTATGAGACAAGTTCATGAGGGAGGGAATAGTTTTTTCCTACGACCACATATGAAAATTACAAAATTCGCACTAGCTGGTTCTTTGGAAGCGCTAAATATCACCCGCGTGCTGAAAGTACTTTCAATAGTCGTGCTAAAAGTACTTTCAGCACACGTGTGGAAAATACTGTTGACATTATTTGTGATTGACATAACAATTTACTTCCAATACGTGGATTGAAAGTACTTTCAGCACGTGTGTTGAAAATGAAAAGAAATAAAATAAGAGAAAATCGATGTAAATTGGTTTCTGGTCGTAGGAAAAATAGTGTACATCACTCGTAAGAAAGCGTCTTTCATACACTCGTGTGATTCTCGCACTCGGCTATCGCCTCGTGCGAAAAAACACTCGTGTGAAATTTGTCACTTTCAACTACACTCGTAATGTAATATACTATTAAGAAGTTCCACTTCTTAACACGTGTACGACGTATGATGCTACATGTGATTTTTTATGTTTCAATAAAGTTGGGAAAATTAAGAATGTCACCCCCCCCAAACCAGAGGCCTTCGCTACGTCCCTGTTAGCTGATGAGAATATAGGTGGTTTTAGTGCTTGCCACCTGTTCGAAATGTCAACAGAATGTTTCGCCGGAAAACTCGACTTCGAACTGGGATTACCGTCTGGCGATTTTTCAGCGATATTTACACAACAAAACCTTTCATTCTCTCGATTACCAGACAAAAAGTAAACGTGGAAGGTTCTTTTCTTTTCAATGAAAGTTGACACTCATCCCAACTTTTTCAGCTATTGAAAAGCATCTAGTATTTTTTATGGGTGAATTATTTATCAATGTCAATCTTTTATTTAGAAGCCAAAAAATTTAAGATCATGAAAAAAAAATTCCTCATGTAAATCAATTTTTTTCTTCTGCAAATTTTCGAACAGGTGGCAGGCATTAAAACCACCCATATTCTCATCAGCTTAGTAGCCACATTCAGCCAGACAAAAAAAAAATGACTCCACTAAACAGGCCCTATCTCACGGTCTATTTTTTGCCTCTTCCACTTTGAATTTCAAAAAAAGCATGAATTTGTTTTTAGGTATTTATATAAAGAATATTTTAGTACAAAAACGAAGTCGATATCTTAATTAGGAGCCGAGAAAACTGAAAAAATGTGAATTTTTAAAAAAATTGTTTTTAACCCTTTAAAATTAAAATTTTTCAAAATCCTTTCTTAGCACACCTACAAATACGTAACAGAACATATCCTAAAAATTTCATGTCTCTAACCTAAATAGTTTTGGCTGGGCGTTGATAATCAGTCAGGACAAGCTCTTTTATATATATAGATTTCAGGTAAGGACAAGATTTCCCTTGGATCAGGAAATAAGGCAAATCAAGAGCTCACGAAGGCAGGAGCGCTGTGCTCCTGTACAGACTTTCTTTTGCCGGGATCGCTAGAGAGAAGTACTGTTACTATTCGCTACCTATACTAGAGAATAATAGGTAAGAGTTAAAAAAAAAAACAAGTACTAGGATGAAACATCAGATTCCGGTTCTGAAAGATCATCAGAATCTAAATCCATAGTTACTTCAGGTTTAATATCAGAAATATGCCAGGTACCAAGAATATTACCCTGTCTATCCCTCAAATCATAAACAAGCTTTAAATGCTTTTTACTAATCACACAAGGTATAAATTTAGGGGTCAACTTTGCACAAAAATTGTTTCCAGCATTAGATAAAATATAGTTTTTCTTCCAAACATAATCACGCACATGATATTCTACCTCTCCTTTACGTAAATCATAATGTTGTTTACTCTTCAGATAAGATCTATGAAGTTTTTTGCGTACATCTTCGTAAATTTGTGGAAGATGAGATTCAAGTGCTGGCCCAATAACCAAATCCATCAACCTACACATAGCTTGTGCACTATTATTTAACCCAAAAGGTACAACTTTGTACTGAAAAAGGCCATTCTCATGAACTGCAAATGCTGTTTTAGGCCTAGATTCTTCATCCAGTGGTATCTGATGAAAAGCCTTTTTCAAATCTATTGAAGTTAAAAATTTAGCATCCCGGACTTAATTGACTAAGAGAATAAAAAGATATTGAAGTTATAAACGTATTGAAAGGTATTGAAATTATAAAGTTATTGACAGGAAAAAAATTTAAGGCATTCTTAAAGAAAATTAAGATAATTAGGTACTTAAATTTGAACAATTGAATCACAAATCACGGATTATTGGAACCTGAATCGATGAATTACTCTAGCACTTGTAATAAGAAGAAAAACTGTAAAAAAGGAAATGTTGCCGGTTGAGTGTCTGTTCTGCTATGATTTTTGAGAGTCACCAATCTCTTTCTTAAAACTAAAGGAAAAGTAAGAACGGATATCACAGAAGAAACTGTCAGGAAAGACCCAACAGTGGAAAAATTGAAACGCCAATTTATACGTAATGTATTTAGTTCTGGGCGGAGTTCCCGGAGGTGAAGTAAGATAGACCTTTCATCCCTTGCATATAACGGGGATCAGCCGCCATATACAAGTTATCCGTAAAAAGACTCAATCAAGAAGGGATAGAAAAGAAATCAGTGTACGGACGAACACATCTAGGAATGCAATTATCTCAATTAACCGCTATTCTAAAGAACCACCCGTCTCTAATTCCTGCTACCAAGTCTGTATCAATAAGGTGATACACAGCAGCCTGTCCAATTGATTTCCCCCAATGGACAAGAAAAATCACTCAAACAGAAATTGAGTAGCTCGTATAAGAGAAAACTTAAGATAACCACATAGCGCCTTCTGGCTTAGTTTTTCCAAATAAACGTTCAAGTTTAGAGTCTTGTCAAGGATGACTCCCAAATACTTTGCTTCATTTGAGAACGGTACTAATTCTTCCTGAATAGTACGGGGTACCAAGTTATCAAGTTTTCTTACTTTTCTTCTCCTGGTGGAGGGTACTATGACCATGATTGTTATTTCCTCTCTCTCGCACCAATCAAGCACGCAGTCTAGCACCTCTTGGAGTGTAGCTGAGACCCTCGTTTCAGAACTACCCTTGGCTATTATAACTAGATCGACCGCATATGCTTGAACCCAACCTCGACCTCCCATATTTGTATCACGGCTAGGAGGTTATCTACCAGAAGTCACAGAAGCGGAGAGAGTAACATACCAAATCTAAATTCTTTGTCTCGATTCCACTGTTCAATGGCGTCTTTGAATACCTATGTTATTTCAAAGTTTGAGTGCACTTTGAATAAAACTCTTCTTGTAACATTAGCCTAAGTTTTTCATATTTTCATAGTTTTTTAAATACTGAAGACCGTTTTAACTTAACAGAGTAGTTGAAACAATGGGATGTAATTTTTTCCAGAAAAACAAAAGGGGAAGTAAAAAAGTAAATTATTAGAAGTAAAAAAAATTATATTCAGAAAAATCCAGCAACGAACAGACGCCGAGACGCTATTAAAAAAATCGAAATGTATCTGCAAAAAAACATGTTATTACTGCGATCAGTATCTGCGACAATTTTTCACATAAAGTCTATCGTCGTTGTCCGATTATCGCTCTCATCTTTCTATATTCAACATGAAAAACAATATAGGTTGAAATCGATTTTCATTTGTTTATATGATGCGTTTCTATGGCATTACATTAATAATAAATTGCTACAATAGATACTACATTGAACGGACCCCCTAGCTTCCATGTAGACTTTATATTAATAGCTCTCACCCTATTTGTCCGTCCCTCTAATCCATTTGTCCAATACAGTTTAGAAACGTCATACCTGCTCTCGAATATTATAAAGAGTAAGGATATAGACAGTCGCAACCGGACATAGCGTGTTTATACACACGATTTGAAAATAATTTTATTGTTCCGGTATTTTAGTCATATTAGTGTAGATATATATTATTTATTTATGTGATTTGAAAGTGTTCTACATGACTTTGTTGAAACTCAAAAGTGTACATCAGCATTCCAAAATGGACTATAACAAGATTAACGGCAAAGATTACAACCAAATGTTTATTGAAAACGAGACTCTTTCCATATCTGGAAGTAAGTCCATTGGTTAAAGCAATGATTATAAAACCAAAGAGCCCTTTTACAGCTTCTTCAAGACGTCCAAGCAACGAAAGCGTCAATAGCGTGAGCTTTCCTCTAGAGAGTTCACTTACGAGGGAACTTACACCGCATCCAAAGCGAAACGACTCGACAACAATAGAGTTTGTCGATAAAACTACAAAAATTAGATCGAAGTCTTTGGTGAACATTTCTAGAAGAAATAGAAGTCCCAGTTTTGATCATGACGGCTTGGGGGATATTGAGGAGAGTCCTAGGCTCAATGCTTACCGGAGAGGTAGTTGGCAACAGGAGAATGGGGAAAAAGTAAGTGGATTTTTTGAAATGTTTCCTAGGTTCAGCTAATATATAAATATTTTATTGTTGAGTTATTTTGGTTTATAAAACCGCTGCCTTTACCTACAGTCGTGAGCACAAAAAGTGGGACACCCGCTTTTTCCTATTGTAAAACGTGCTCACCAGCTATACCTACGGCAATGACAGGGATTGTCATATTTGACAAAAAATCCAGTGTAGAGAAAAGACTGATTTACCAAAAATAGGGAAAAATGACAAGACCTGTCAGTCGGGTGTCCCACTTTTTGTGCTCACGACTGTACAGGGTTATTGGTTATAAATGTCACCCCGCTCTATCTTTTTCATTTGACATTTTAGAAAAAAGGGTCTCAGATAAAAGTTTTATGATTGAAATTAAATTTTTTGAAAAAGTCACTTTCGCATATACAGGGTGTTTCAGAAAAGCTGGTCGTGCTCCAAATGTCTTATTTCAAATAGGATACCCTGTATATTATTGGATATTCGGATTCTACGTAAAATACTGAGCAGATTTTATGTGATATACCCTATACCTACCTAAGTTCAACTGTTTTGGAAATATTGACAGTTGAAAATTGACTTTTTTGCAACTTTGATAGGCTGTAAATCCTAAACGGTTAATTTTAGAGCAAAACCGATCTTACATTTTTATCTTAGATTTTTATAAACTATCAGTTGACACCAATATTTGACATCAACTTTGAATTTAATCCATGATTGAAAATTCCAATTGAATTTAATCTTCGGTTAAATTCAAAGTTGGTGTCAAATTATAACTTGTGAAAATCTTAGGAAAAAATGTAAGATCGGTTTTGCTCAAAAGTTAACCGTTTAGGTTTTACAGCCTGTCAAATTTGCAAAAAGTCAATTTTCAACTGTCAATATTTCCAAAACAGTTGAACTTAGGTACAGGGTATATTACATGAATCAGAATTTGACGTAGAATCCGAATATTGAATAATATACAGGGTATTGAATTTAAAATAAGAAAGTTGGAGCACGACCAGCTTTTTGAAACACCCTGTATATGCAAAAACGAGTTTTTCAAAAAATTTAATTTCAACCATAAATTTTTTATTTGAGACACTTTTTTCTAAAATGTCAAATAAAAAAGATAGAGGGGGGTGACATTTATAACCAATAACCCTGTACCTCTAATATACATAATATCATGGATACTTCTGATACTAGCAAGTGCCCTATGGTAGATTTGACTCTCTCTGTTTTTTAATCCCATGGTAAACATTAAATGTGAAATGTAATTTAAACTGGAAAAGAACGAGAAAGTTAATCAATTTATGGTGTTTTTTTTTTTATAAGCACCAATCTTGTGTGTTAGCTATACAATGGCATAAAACAGAATTCCAAAGGATAATGCACACCTAACATGGAATTCTTGGGCTCTATGGATTTTTCCCATTTTTTGATATGTTGTAGAGGATTTAATTCTGAACAACCTTTAAATGGGACGAAATCTTGTAGGTTCTACGGTCTTTGAGATATGTGCGTTGAAAGAGGAACTTTTTTGCCACTTTTTGTGAGGAGAGTATACGAGATACTGGTGCTACTGGTGTTTATCAGTCAAAATATTGACAGGTTCACATATTTTACGTCACTCACAAATTAATGTCAACATAGGTTAAGGCCGGGGCCGCACTGGGGTCAATGTTGGCGCTAGTGCGGTCCTGGCCTTAGCCTATGTTGACATTTGTTAGTGACGTGAAATATGTCGACCTGTCAATATTTTGACTGATAAACACCAGTTTCCGTATACTCTCCACACAAAAAGTCGCAAAAAAGTTCATCTTACAACGCCCATATCTCAAAGACCGTAATACCCACAAGACTTCGTCCCATTTAAAGGTTGTTAAGAATTTAATCCTCTACAACATATCAAAAAATGGGCAAAATCCATAGAGCCCAAAAATCCCATGTTAGGTGTGCGTTATCCTTTAATTAATTCTTCTTGTCATTTTGTCTGTCTCTGTTATACCCGCAGCAAACCCTATAGCTCTTTCCTCCGCCTGTTTTGCGATACATTTTTAGTCGCCCTCATGAACGATCGAGCGCTAACCGGCCCAACAGTAGCCCAATGTAATGATCGTGATGAACCTCGCATCTTTTTTAGTATTAACTTGGGTAGTTGTATATTTCGACGTGCGTTACAATATATTTTAAACGGCGCATTCAATCCCCTTAACGAAATATTGATAAGACTGAAAGCAGATTATAATTCTAAAAATCTTTTACCTGCGCCTATGGGTAGTATAAATTACAGAAATACGCCTCATGAAACCCTAAAACCCATCCCAGCCAGCATAGACACATACCAGTGATGTGAAGTTACGTAAAATTGGGAATGTTAAACCTCTATACTTTGTAAATCACATGGATAGCTTGGCGATAGCCGAATTTCCTCAACTGCGCTCCAGAAAATTATATTTATGGTATGACTCTAATATGTATATTATCACCGGGGTATTTCACGAGAATATAGCGAATACTTAAGCGGATACATGTATTATCACACGTAACGGGTATGTAACAACGCACCTATGAGACATATGCATCTGTAACTAACATCCCTTGTATTTTGTATTCGGTATATTCTGCATACCTATATTATTATATGTTGAAGTTAGATGACATTTTTTTTTTACATAAAAAGTATGTTAGTTTGTTGGTTAGCATGAAATAAAATACAAAATAAACGAAATAACTTTTCATTACATATTAATGCCAACTCGCTAATACGGGAAATCCATATACGATGTAGCGGCCGCCCTAGTATCACTGTTTAAGATAATGATTATTGGCGACCGGTTTTCAATTTGTTACAAATTTTTACTAGGGTGGCTACAGTGGTAGGGTTCGTAATTGCTAAGGGTGGAAATAAGTACACAATTCTTCTGAATTTAATAGTTATTTACATTGCAAGTGCGTTTATGAACATCATTACAATAACGAGTGTGAAAGATTAGAGCGACGAGGTCGTAGACCGAGTCGTTATAATCGCACGAGTTTTGTAGTCATGTTTAGAGTCCGCGTCAAGAGTAAAGAGGACGGTGACGTCAATTGCGCACAAACCCAATTTTGAAGACTAACCGAACTATCGTATTATTCGGTGCTGCTGCCGAACGCCAAGCACGTGGTTCATTGTCGTACGGCCAGCAGGCATATTTATTTCGTTTATTTTCTATCCAAGTTTTGTCTAAAAAGATACCCCGCTGCTGGTTTCAGCTCACGGCCGAGGTCACGGCAGACAGCGAGAGATAGACGAGGGAGAGAGATCGGATCCGCTTCGCGCAGCTTTCCCTGTCGTCACCGTAGTCTTTACTGCTGACGCGGACTCTAATAATGCACGTGTGACGTATAGTCTGGCAAGTGGAAGTGGTAACTTGATAGAGACGAAAGGGGGAAGAAAAGTGGGGCGACACCGACAATTACATTTGCCGAATTTATTAAAAACAAACTGCTACTTCAGCAGCAGCTACTATGACATTATGTATGCTGACAAATCTGTGATTGTCTTGGTTGGGCTTGTGGGCGTTTGATCCGCGTAACCTAGAGTCCAGCCACGTGCGCTCAGGCCCTTTTGGGTCATTTTTAATTTACATTTAATTTATGTCTTTATATGTATTATTGTCTCCAGCCCATTTGCTGCGCTTCCTGGCTGCCATTTGCCCTCTCTTTTTTCTTCTTGCCCTGATTGATTTTTTTTCTTTTAAATTAGATATTGTGTGGTATAAATAAAAACGAAGTAAATACTGCGAAGAATATACTAATACTTGTAGTAGTAGCATGTACTTCGTGTACACCCATTATCTATCGCTACTTAAAAGCTAGTATTAGTATTAAGTTACCTGGCAGTCTCACATGAGGGCCTTCTTAGAGAGACTCTCATGAGAGCTGTTTTATAATCGGGAGGCTGTCCAATTTGTCAAATAATTACATTCAAATGTATTAAAGTACAAATTTGTGAAGTGTTGTTTTTTTTTGGCAAATAAATGATGTTTGATTTGATTTGATACGTTATAGTTCAAATTATGTAAAGTTCACAATTTAAGTTCACAAGTTAAGTTTACAAAAGTGTTTACCTTAGTATACCAATGTTAAATTCTCTTCCTAGGGGTGTTTTTACTTGTCGTCGAGACGCGTAATTTAATCTACTACCGATCCCGAATTTACTGCTCGATTTCTGAACTACTTCAAGTTCGTGATTAAAACTCTCTTTTACGAATTGCCATTCGACCAGGATCTTAGACTGTATTGTTTACATCGAAAATTATTGATTTTCCGGTTGGAACTTCTCTGGTCTTCACGATTTAGGAATTTTCTCACTCCGATTCGAGAATTTCCTAATATTGTAACTTTGTTTAGAGTTAGACCGAAATCTACTGTTTACTACATTTTTGGGAACTGACTTATTACTCGTCTTTCAACTCAAGCTTCTAACTATAGCTTCTAACTATAGCTTCTAACTGTCTGTTTTTAACTGACCGTTCTTACTGACTTATTGACATATTGACCATCAACTGCATGGACATGCCCTTTTTATACGCGATTTGTGTGTCATTTCTGGCTTCGGGTCCCACGTTTCTAGAAATTCTTTTTTGTCGTACGCTTCCAAAAACAGCTATTTTACGGACTCATTCAAGTTCGTAAAATGCTTCTTTTTAGGATTTTTTTTTCTTTCTGGATGCACCTTTATGATTTCAAGAATTAAGGAATTTTTGCAAATTTTAGCGTTCTGAAGAATTCTAAAAAGCTTATGACAAAAAATAGTGTTTGTCGCACGTACCTAACGAAGTTTTTCAGGACTCATCTACTATGCCGGACTCGGCTAACACCTCGTCCGGAAACAGCAATGATTCGTCCTGAAAAACTTCATTTTAGGTACCTACTTGTGACGAAAATAACTATTTTCTGCGATTGACAAGAAATGTCAACATTTTTGACCAGTTGACAGGTCGCAAAACTCAATATTCTGG